AACAGCTTTTTGTGCCTCCCGGAAGAGCCACAGTAACTCCCGTCACAAAAGGGTTAACCTCCCGCATCCCTCCTCTCTTTTGACGGTGTGCACCCCCTCACCCCCCTCTATCCCCCGCTTTCTTTCTCTAGGTTGATAGTAGTATTGCTAACGTGCTTAAGTTTGCTGTAAGACACAATCCAGACATTGACACCACTCGATGTAGCGACGTTTGAATTTGATGCTATTAAGATGTAACTCGCGCTGCGTATATAGTCTACAGCAACCAAGGTGCGGACGAAGGCACGGGTGAGCGGTACTGCTGCAGACTCTTGAGTGATCGATAGCGACACAACCATGAGAGAGGATATCAGGGTGCGACACCCGACCGACCGACCGCCAGGTGGAAGGATCGGAAACCCTCGCTCTCGACAACACTCATTCCCAAAACCAACCTTTTCGACATTTTTCAGCCTCTTGGCTGTGCGGCAGTCGAGCTTGTTTTCGGCCACATATGGTGGGTGCGTTCGCCCGCACTTTTGCGGTAAAGTTTGAGGATTGGCGATGCACACGCGAGTGCCGCAGGATGAAGTAGTACTGCTGCAGCTCGCGACATCGATGCTCCGTGCTGCCGGTATTCCGCATTGCATGCGGAATATGCCGACAGCAAGTTTCACGCCCCGGCAAGCGCTGCCCTCCCAAGCATGTGCACAACCTTTTTGCGCACGGTATATCAACCATCTTCTCCCCACACAAATAATGTGATGCGTTTGTTTTCGCCGGAAACAAAACAGCTCGTCGCGAGCACCCCCCCCCACGCCCCTCCCCCCCCGAAAACCACACCCGGCCCGAGCCCGTGACGCACAAATCGCCGCAATCATACTTAAATTACCTCACACGTCCCTTGCGACAAAGGTGGGCACGGCGGCGTTGGCACAGGTGATCAAGTTCAACACCACAATCCGCGAGGTGAGCCTGGCCAACACGGTCCTCAACTCCCAGGCGTGCGCCCTCCTGTCCGACGCGCTCATCATGAACCGCACGCTGGAGAGCCTGAACCTCGAGAAGAACCGCATTGCCGCCCAGGGCGCGCGCTTCCTGGCCGACGCCCTCGGCGCCAACGAGACTTTGCGGACCCTGTGGCTAGACGGGAACCAGATTGAGGACGCCGGGGCCAAGGCAATCGCGGCAGCGCTGGCGGAGGAGGGGGGATCTAGGCTCGAGAGGCTGTCGCTGGCAAACACCGGGGTGACGGAGAGCGGCGCAGAGGCGCTGGGGGACGCGCTGGTGGGGAACTTGTGGCTAAGGAGGCTGACCATGGCCAAGATAGATCTTGCGCCGCAGGTGCTGCTGGGGAGGGTGCAGGAGGGGGAGGAGTCGGCGGCTGCGGCGAAGGGCCTGCAGGTGAGTTAGGTTAGAGGTGTTTGGTTTTGCTACGGTTGGGGGCATCAAGTCTATGATAGTTGCGCTCGCTGGCCCTGCATTGTGTGGGAAAATCCGTGTGGACGTGGTACATGATTTGCTCGCGTGAGACCTAGTGAACATGCGTTGCATGTGTGCGCGTTGCGTTGTCTTGATACCAGTGTGTCCTAGTGGATAGTTCGGATTTGGGGAGCAGCAAGCCGCGCCAATCCTATGCGTACACATGCAAGCAATCATAGTTGGCTACTCCTGTGCAAGATATTGCGTCGCTACTAAATGTGAGACACGGTGTTGGTTGGGTAAGTCCTCAGCACGGCGGCACACAGACATTTTCTGGGTACAGCAGCACCCGTGCCGCCGTTGTCTCTCACCTCCTACAGCAGTATTTAATATTTAGTGTTCGATAATAGAAGCACCCTTTACTCCTGCCTTTGTGGGCGAACACATGGAAGCACCTACTCTCTCCGCAGACCGCTTTGATCTGTCACGCGCGTTTTTTGGCTCACGCCACCACAACCTATGCCGCTCGCTAGGCTTGTCGTCGTACCTCCAGCTCAGTCGCTGTCTTTATTTTCACTGCGACTCAATCGCATCACCGCATGAAACTTTCCCGAAAAAATATCAGACGATCGACCTTAGCGGCCAAGCCCTGTCGGCGACACTGGACTACCCGATCGTGTGCCGCCTCGCTGCTAGAAACCCTCGTCTTGCGCGTCTTCGCCTGTCTAGAGCGGGACTGTGCGGCGTAACCTCCGGCGGGCGGGGTCGCAGGAGCCTGGCAGGGCTGCGCTCGCTAGCGTTAACTCTCAAGGTATACTGTAGCAGTAATCTAAGGGAAGGGAGGGAAATGGTAGGGCATAGAGAGGGGGGGGGGGCGGTGGCAGACGTAGCGTTGTGGTCGCATTGGAAGAGGCATTCTCAATAGACGCAGATACGAGTTTTGTTTCGGGGATTTGTCCAATGTATCAGGTACAAGCAGTCGCGATTAAGGTGGCGTTGTTGCGTCATTGGCAGTTGGTGCCACAACTATTTTTTGCTGGTGTGCTCAACTCTCGCTTCGCCGCACATCGCTCAAAACCAGGCTGCCCCGCCCCGCCTGGTGGTGCTGGACATTGGACACAACTTCATCGACGACAGCGCCATAGAGGTGATCGCGACCGGCCTCGAGGAGAACCGGGTCTTGACTAACCTCATCCTGCAGGGAAACGGCATCGGGGATAAGGTATCTAGGTACAGTGTGGTAGTACTGCACACTGCAAGAGCTGTTGGAGCAAGTAGTAGTAGCAATAGTTCCGATCTGCGGCAGCCAGTTTCTGATTGTAGCCCCAAGAGCAGCTGCTTGTGGGTGACGCGGTTTGTTTATGATCAGTTATTCCGAGGGGGGGGTTGTATTCAAATTGGCAACCGTGAGAAACATGCATATTCTCTCGTCATACATCGTGTATCCTTCGTACATCATGGAGCTAGATTTGCTATGTAGGGCGCGCGCCATGTGTTTTTAGGTAGCAAGGGAGGTGTCGAGGTCATCGAATGCAGACATGCCACGTAGCTAGCGCGTGGTCATGTTTTTGTACAGCATATGCTGCGTTACGTCTGTTCAACTTGCGCTGCACCCATGGTTTTGTCAAGCTGTTGTACTTTTTTTTTTCCATTAGATTTTTGTAAGTCAGTTTGAGTCAGGTTGGGCAGGTACGATATTAGAAGGTTCTGAATAGAGAACGGAACGATTTTTTATGCGAAAACAACGACAACATGACCTCTCAACGGCAGCTTTCCTCCCTCCCCCCGACGTTCCGGCCCAGGGTATGACTATCCTGGCGGCCGCCCTCCCATCCTCCATCGTCGAGCTAGACCTATCCAACAACCCGGCCGTGGGCGAGAAGGGCGGCAAGGCCATCGCGCTCTTCCTCCTGGACTTCGTCCGTTCCGCCAACCTCCGCCGTCTTGACGTGACCATGTGCAACCTCGGCGATGAGGGCCTCGTTAGCCTTGCGGAGGGGGTGGGGGCCGCTAAGGGTCTGGAGTGGTTGGGGGTGGCCAGGAACTTGAACGATCCTGGGAGCGTGGTTGGGGCTGGGGCGGGGAGCGGCGTGGGGAAGACGGCGCTAGGTAAGGGTTATGGAGGCGTGGCCGGGTTTTCTTAGACCAGCCAGCGCTTGTTTTTTGTTGGTGAAACTGTTCTGGTCTGGTCTTGGAGACTGCACTGTGGCCAACGCGGTGTTTCTTCCTTTGTTTTATCGTCAGGTATACTGCTGGACTTGTATTTCTCGCCTGCGTTTTTTTTGCTTGAGTTTCAGCGTTGTATGCACAGTAGGAGGCGAAGATGAAGGTTATGCACGTCGAGGCTTCGGCGACCACGCCCGCCATCCACGTTTCTGCGACTACGTCCACCGTTGATGACGTCGAGGCTTCTGCAACCACATCCACCGGTAGACGTGTTCGCTGAAACCTCGGCTTCATCGACGATGGACGCGGTCGCAGAAGCCTCGCGTGTTTTCCTGCTCCACGTTGCTCTGACACGGGTCGAAACGTAAACGTGGGTTCAAGAATTGAATGCGAGATGCGAACAGAGGGCACACCGGCGCGCCCGCTGCATGGTCGTTCTTGTGTCACTTCACTTGCCGAAGTGCACTTTTGCGTCCGTTGGGATGCTGACACGTATGTATCTGGCTTGTTGCTCTGTTGCAAAATGCGAAACACTGGTGTCTGCTGTCTGCACGGGCATATTATTCGGACGGTGACGGGAGTTTGTGAACTAGTCTTGGTTCTTCCATTTCGGGTGTACTGGCTGAGGAAATCAAGTATTGCCAGACAGAAGTAAGACGTTGGAGGAGACAAAACAAGCGCCCGCAAGAAAGAGGTGGTCTCCACGGCAATACCGCAAGTTTTCACAAGATGCCACACACGGAGCCCTGGACCGATTTTTAAAGCGTAAGAGACGGTGCCGAAAAAGTGCATTATTGGAACCGGCTCGTCGAGATCTTTTGGATTAAGCATCATCGTGTGTGTGATGTTGGCAGCCTCTTTGTCGTGGAGTAATCGAGCTTTCAAAATCGACGCTAGGGGGTGTAGTAAATTATGCAAACCACGGGAACAGCATCAATATTCTTTGGGAGTGAAGGTCGAGTCTGTCGCTGTGTGCTACATTGCACACGTCGTGCTTGTTGATTTTTGTAGGTTTGGCTCTGTCGCTGTGTGTTATATTGCACGAGCCGGGCTTTTTGATCTTTTAGGTTTGGCTCTGTCGCTGTGTGCTATGTTGCACACGCCGTGCTTTTTTTATCTTTTTAGGTTTGGCTCTGCTGTCGGGGCAGGAGTCGCGGCTTCAGGCGTTATCGGTGGACCTGTGGACCATTTCGAAGGGCCAGAAGGATCTCACGCTCTTCAGGCCCAAGGGCACGGTGCGGTGCCAGGTGAGGCAAGATGACAAGTGTCTGTGGCGTCTGGCTGACGGCGCGGAGAGTCTATTGGTGAGGGGAGTGTTGATCTTGGGGGTATGCGCGACCCCTAGCGTACGCTGCTTGTTTGTTGCCGGTGTCGCTTTGGTGGACTGCTGGCGGCCTTGACGACTCTCTAGACGCTGCTGCAACGCTAGGTGCACGGGAAGAGCTATGCTGCTGTGTGTTGCGGCTGTGGGTACATCCGTGTACTGGTTGTACTGAAGTCTATATAAAAGTCTTCTCGCCCTCCGAGAATACGCACACCATACACCCTCGTCCTGTACTTAGGAGCACCTAGTGCATGTGCATCGTGCTTGGACCAACGCTCGTCGTCGTGTTGCACACGTTGGCTTAGGGAAGCGCCCTAACCCCAAAGTAAGACTTCGTAGGCGGTGTTTATCTTTCTCTAAATACATATAGCTAACGCTCACATTTTTTTCTCCACCACCCTCAAGAGCTTAATGCCTTGAATACACACGGGCCATTAAACTGGACTAACGAAGTCGTGTGTCTGGGCTATCCTTCCACGAACGATGGCCACTTCTCTGTATCGTCTTGCTTCTCATGGTATACACCACGGTACATTACCATGGTACACAGCTACCTTCAACGGCGGACGTCTGCCTGCTGGCGGGAGTCATCTGCTTGCACGACTGGTTGCGCCGCGTGTGTTTGGACGGCAACCCCATCGACGAGGAAGGGCTAGGCTACCTATCCCGTGCGCTGCTGAGAAACGGGAGCGTGCAGACGGTATCATTGAACAGGTACATTGGCTTGATACTGACTTGATACACATATAGCCTTGCCGTATGGCCTCGTCATATGGGCTCGAGCGGGGTTCTGGCGGCGTATTGTAGCCCACTGTTGAGACGAAAAGCAGGGTTATACCTGTTTTGAGAAGTCGACAGGAGTGGGTACCCTTTCTTGGCTGTCGGCAGCAGCGTGCACCATTTTTTCTTTGCCTGCCTTTCTTGACCTTATCCCGAAAGTTGGGATTTGTTGTTCCGCGCGTGCCGGGTACTGCACGGTGCACTCGCCCCCGCAAGCCACACGTCGTGGAGATGCACCCAGCCAGCTCTAGCAAGTATTTGTTTAGTTTTTGCTTGGTTCTGTGGAGCACTGAAGGTTGCGTCTTCCTCAGCAGTGCAGCGAAACAGGTTGGGTGATACTCCTGTGTGGTTTCCGCCATGAACAAGTGGTCGGTATGATCATAGGTATATGTATGATCATAGGTGTAAGTGTTGCTGGTGTTTATCATGATGCACATTGTACAGATTATGCAGATTATGACCGCAGCTAGCTGAACTTTTTGGTGACGAACCAGCGCCCTCCATTTACCATTTTCTTTTTTACGCATGCGCGTGTGGTGCGCCAGTTCACAGCTGGGATAGCCTTCGACGGGTCTTCTCAACCCCGCCTTTGCCTCCCTGGGAGGTTACCGTCCAAGCCGCCCATACTATACGGTCGTCTCCCCTCCTCCTCTCATGTTTCTGTGCTACCCTTTTGTGCTCTCTCGCATGACCTCTCTCTCCCGACTGGTACATAACAACCGGATGATGTTGTCTCTCGCGTGGTTTGGCATCCAAAAGATGCGGGCTAGGGGAGCGGTCGGGGGCACTGCTGCTTCACGTGGTCGGCGAGAAGCCGGGGTTGGAGATAGACGCCTGCGATGGAAACGCGTTCGGGGAAGAGATCGAAACCAAGGTGACGTGTAATTGTGGACCGGATGATTTCTGGACCATGGCAGCGACCGTCAGCATCGGGTTTTACCGTAAGGACGACAGGGATTGCACCGGTTCCGACAGATGATACCGGGGTGCGCGAAAAATGCAGGCGTCATGCAGTCACTGCGCTTCGGCGCCGGGGTCGGAGAGATCTCGCCGGTCGGATAGATGACGCCGGGGTGCGAAAATAGCCAAGAAAGATTACTTGTCGAACCTGGTGCCATCTCTGGCATCCGTACGGTACTCCCGCCTGCCACGATTGAGGGTGTCACCTGGACTTTTTTTTCGAAATGGAGGGCTGACAAATGCTTGGCATTTGTGGCAGTGCGACAACCTTGCAACGCCCACCGAGGTGATGCACTGGGGCTGGGCGCACGGAGGGTCTCCTGCGATGAACAAAAACCGTTTTCCTCTCTCACACATTCCCGTAAACATGTTGCGGGGGTGGGGTCGTTGTTTGTCCACACTTTGAGCCAAGGGTACAAGTACTACCGCCGTCCCGGTGCCAAGGTTTGCCCTACAATTTTGTGGTTGTTCTTGACCCTCCCTTTGTGCTCCCTTTGTGGTCCTCTTCACCGCACCACCAACAAACGATTGTCAACACGGCGTCAGGCTGCTGTCCTTTGCTTGCCCGTGCTCGCATGTCTTCCATGTCTTCCATGTCTTCCATGTCTTCCAACTTCCCGGCGCTGTTGCTGTTCCTTCCGAACCGTCGACCCAACACGCTCACCTCACTCAGGCCCTCAACCCCAACCCCACCTATCACTATTCCACGGTGCCCCCCCCTCCCGCCCTGGGGTGTACTGGTGTCGATTCTCGTGTCAATGCCTGCCGCTGATTGGTCAGCTCGCGGCGGCGCTGAAGGGGGCCCGCGGAATACTTTCTGGGAGTGTGGAGTGCCGGCGCACCACGGTGCACCTTCTGGGAGAGGCCGGTGCGGGCAAGAGCACGCTCAAGGAGACCTTGCGGAGGGGGTACTTCTCCAGTTTTTTCAATGTGCGTTCCGTCAGTATACTGACTGTGGATCGCGGGTTGTTGGCGACTCTGGCGACACGGCCACGCCTATCTCCAAGGATTATTTATTTATTTATGTTGTTGTTGTTGCTGCTGTTGCTGTTGTTGTTACTACAAGTTGTATCGTTGTTGTTCATGCACCAGAAGAACCATTCAAGCCCTATCCCTCTACAACCACAGAAAGAGGATCCTCCTCTGCGCTACCTGGTGCCCATCGCGGCTCACTCTCTTTCAAGTTGGATCTTATTACGGCAATACCCGGCACAAACAAATGTTCAACGTGTGCGCGCCAAGCTCCTTCTTGCCCCAACCTGCTCTGTCTGATAAACAATGCTACATTTCTGTTGTGAAATGTACTGACTGTTGTGGGATTGGCGCTTGCATCCGAATAGCCCTTATTGTTTCAAACATGATGGTAGCGGGCTTGGGACCAAGCGCGGGCGGCCACACCCCCGAGCTGTGTGCTAACCACACTGAGTCAAGCTAGATCTCATGACGACATGCCCATGACTATGCGCAACACCTTTCTGCTCGAGCGCGCAGACAAGCCTAGAGAACGCCCCGGACAGAGGAGCGGAGGACCCCTTCCAGAGGACTCTGGGAGTCACGAGCGACACCCTCGCCCTCGGCGCCAGCTCGGCCCCTGTCCTGGTGCGGGATCACGGAGGCCTGCGGCGTTTCAGGGGGGTGGGTGCGGTAGACGGCGGGCTGGCGTGCCCCTCATCGGTGTATGTTGTGGTCGTGAGCCTGACGGTGGACAAGGCGGAGTCAAAGCGGCAGATCAAGCACTGGTGAGGTTAGGTTTGCTTTTGGCTTTCTGTATGGTTGACGGTGCCGTTGCGCTCCCTCCAGCACGCGTGCGTCATGCCCTACCATCGTTGCGCCGCTGCCCTGTGTGTCTTCTTTTTTGTTGGTCCCCATGTTTGGTTTTGTTGTTGCAGCTTATTCTTCAACTAATGCATGCACTTGTTCCTCAACCGATGCTTGCAGTTGGTTCGTCCTGTTTAACTAGTCAAAATCGAACCTCTCTGGTGGTTCCGCTGCACATGACAGTACGCACGATCAATACAGCAATACTGCAATACTGCAGTACCGTAATGAATGTATTTTTATTGGGCGGCGGCCAACGCCAACATAGGCTGAGGCTAGTCCAGACCGTCGGGCCTGCAAGCGGGTCGGTCATCGTGCTCGTGGGGTCCAGGGCGGACGAGCTGGGATCGGTGGGGCAGGACTACCTCCAGAAACTCTGGGACAGAACCCGTGAGGTGCGACCGCGTCAGCCACACCGCACCATACCACCACACCTGTTGAACATCCCTTCGTTTGATTGGAAGCCTTTCCTCTTACCGGATGGATAAGAATAAACTATGAACAGTTGAATGAGTTGACTTTTCGCAACAAAACCGACAGTTGCTCCAGTAGGTGAAGTTGTCCTGAGCGAAGACACGACATTCAGGGCCGCTTCTTGGCGTGCATGCGGAAGTAGAAGTAGACATCATCTCGTATTAGGTATGGCTGTCTGGTGGCGAGTTTGTCTCGTAGTTTCTCCGCTCTGGACGCCTCAACACAACGTTCATCAATGCCTTCCGTCTACGTAGACCCTGCTGACAGACAGTACCTTTTGTGTGAATCCTTTTCTTACCATGCCTACAATAATACCCTTGATGAACTTTTTTTTTTCTACCATTATACTGCTGTTTTGACGTTATCGATAGGAACTGACCCTTGAAGAACTGAGATCCGGGCTGGACGCTTCTCTCCCTACCTTTGCGGGATGCCTTGCGATGGACTGCAGGAAAGCGGGCAACGCCAATGTCGCCCGCCTTCGAGAGGTAGGTACAGTGTCTACCTGTTTGTTATGGAATGCTGTACTCTGTACTCTGTACTCATGGCGTGCGTGTTGTTGACTTGTGCCATTTTTTGGGCGAAGATAGCGATGGCACTTTAGCCTGAGTACGCACGCGGCCGATGTTCTTGGGGCATGCGTGTGCCGTCTGCTTCTTGTTGGGAGATTCCTTCCTTCACAGGAGGTGTGAAACGTGTTGCGTTCGTGTGTTGATTGATGCGACTTTGAGTCTGCGGGGTACGTGTTACCGGTCAGTTCGTTGTTGTTGGCAGGGCAGTACTGCATGACTGCATGACGTTAGTAGAAGTTTGTGTCGGGATCAGAAGCGACAGAAGAAAGCAGAAACAGAAGAAAGAAGCATCAGAAGAAAGAAGCGCATGTGTTTCCAACACCCAACACGACAGCAGCAGCAGCAGTAGCAGCAGCAGCAGCAGCAGCAGCAGCAGCAACAACAACAACAATTTCGGTAGCAGAAACACGTTGCGCGTTGGCGTTTGGTTCAGGCTATTGCCCACGCGGACAAGCTGTTCGGGCAGGAAGGCAAGGGCTGGGCTGCGCTGCCACTGTACCCAAGCCTCGCCCGGAGAGTCGAAAGATGGTCAGGAGAAGGGTCCACTTTGGTACGATGGCCCAAGTTCGTCACCGCCGTACAGCGACAGGTGACGATCATCAGACTCGATTGCGTGTCATGGTCCCAAAGCTTGTGTGTCTTGTTGGTAGGTGCAGTCCGGTTTGGGTTAACGCCTTCTTGTCTCTACCACACGGGCACGGTTGTTCTGCACCTGTCGTCTATCGTTCGCTCTGCTCTCTGCCTCGCCCCAAACCAACCGACCCTCTCCGTACAGATGTGTCTCGATTCCTGCCCAGCCCTGAAGACTCCCTACTGGGTCGCCCCGGTGGTCTAGTGGTATCCTCGTAAACCGCTAGTCGCAAAGGTCGTAAGTTCGAATCCCCATGGGGTGAAAAATGTGCAAACTTTGCGGGTGAAAGCGAAATACAGCTGAGAAGCTCTCGTGAGTACCAAACTTCGACATTACCACCGTTGCCGAGGGCAAGGGACGGTTGGACCCTCCTCGCGAAGAAAATAAAACTCAGCACGCACCGCAGGAGGAAGGTGGGACACGAAAAGAAATAAAAAGAAACAAGCCCTGGTGTTTACCCCCTTCTGTGTGACCCTGGACGGTTGTAGTTGTACGAAGAAATGCATTGAAAAGTGTAGTACTCACATACGCTGAAAATATGAAGTACACATCTCACCACGAACAATGGGGGGACTGTCGCCATAATAAATAGGATAAAAACACACACACACACACACACAACACTGCTCGCGCCACCTCCCTCCGGGTAGTCGTCGGCGAGAGCACACGCCCCCCTCGCTTGCGTCCGCCCTACCCTCCTCCAGAGCTCTAACCGCTGAGATGCCGACTCTCGTTCTCATGCTGTCGCCGACTCGAGCGAAACTAAAGCTACTGATCGCTCCGTCGCCGCGGCTCCACTCGCCACCCGCATGTACCCCCCCCACCCCGTCCCAGCTGTGCTCTCGGGCATCGGGAGCGGTGTGCGCCAACCTCGCCCGCTCGTTAGCACGGGAGGGGCGGATATTGCTCAGGGGCGTTGCCGGGGGCGAGGAGGTGGAGCGCGGGAAGGGCTGGGTAGTGCTGCGGCCGAGCTTTTTCCTGCACCACATCGTGGGAGGCGTTTTCGGCAGCGCCGAGGCCAGGGATGGGGGGGGGGTGGTTTCCGCGGCTGCCGTGTGCGCATCGGTTCTCGGGTAAGCGAAATCTTTGTACTAAAGCTTCAGCCGGGGTCCAGGGCGGGTGTGTGCCAGGTCGATTCACCCGCCCCCATCGCGGTCACATAGTACTTCATAGTATTAAAAATGTTGGGGTATCTGTGCCGGGAGATTTCCCCCGCCCTGTACCGGCCAGCGACCATATGGAGGCGCCCCGATCCATGGAGGGATCCTGGCTGTACTGAGCATGTGCAGGTGTTCTTAGTAGGCATCGCGGACAGCACAGGCAGGCAGGTGCCACGCCGCGGCGGCTGTGCTTTTGCAGGGCACCGCTGCGGATGCTGCAGCTGCTGTGGCTGGAGTGCACCCCTGCATGCTGCCGCAAAGCCCCTTCTGCCGTTTCTGAGCAAGAAGCCACCACGGCCTCAGGCGTGATCGCGATACTTTTTTTTAGTGTGATACTTTTTTTTTTGTCGTAGCATGGCGATTAACTACGCGATTGTCTCTCCGATGTTGCTGTGTCCACGCCAGGGGATTGGGCTCTGTGCAGCCGGATACTCTGGTGCAGGCGCTTATCGACGGGTACTTCTGCGCCGAGCTCCCTCCGGACGACAAGGCGTTGGGCGCGTCTACCAGAGCAGGGGCGGTAGGCAATATGACCACCACCACCACCGGCAGCAGCAGCAGCAGCAGCAGCAGCAGCAGCAGCAGCAGCGGCAGCAACAGCGTCTTCGTAGATTGCTCTTCCTCGCCGGCCCTCCGGGGGGGTGCTCGGGAGAACCGCGGCGGGTCCGAAGAAGACAGCAGCGAGCGCCACCTTCCCGTGGCGCGGCCAATAGGATCACCGCCATCAACGGCAACGACAGCAGCAGCAGTAGCACGGCCATCGGTGGCAGTACCCCCGGCGGTGGCGGTGGCGGCAAGCTTTGGCACGTACGACGACGGGCGGCGACGACCGAGCGACAAGGTGGAGCGCAAGCACGTTATCTCGGTCTCGACTGCTGCTGCTGCTGCTGCTGCTGCTGCCGGCTCCTCCTCCTCCTCCTCCTCTTCAAACTCTCCCCGAACACCGGCTTCACCCGGGGCGGGGGCGCCGTCGAATCAGGCCTTGGGGGGGGCGTCGTCATCTCTGGCGGCAGAGGTGCTTGCTGCCGCGGAAGCCAACGGTGCAGCGGCAGGTGTGTCCCCCCGCAAGCCCAGCGCGGAGACGGAGCCTGGGGCAGTTGAGCGGAGGAAGTCATCGGAGAGATGGCGAGCGTTCGGCTTGAGGAAGGAGTCTTGGGCGAAGCTGGAGCGGAGGCGGTTGTTGTTTCCGGCCCTGCTGCCGCGATCGGAGGCGATTTCGAGGAGGGAGTGGGCGCGTAGGTGGAACACGGAGGCGTGCGTGTGCGGGAGGAGGGTCGCGTGCCGATCTCCGATGCTGCTGCCCGGGCTTTTTCACATGCTGCAATCGCTTCTCGCTACAAGGTGAGGCAGGAAAGGTTGAGACAGGCATGTCGTGTGGGCAGGCGTTCGTCCCTCGCGCCCCTGGCGAGCTGTGCGTCATGTAGACCTGCTACTGCATCGTTGTTGTCGTTTGTTGTGCATACTGATAGGTTGCTGGAATCACAGCGCACGCGGGGCTTCGCCTGTTGCGAACGAAGCATTTTGGATGTTGCCTTTGTCACTGCTCGCGGTCCACTGGTGCGTCTGTCAAGCCATGCCGCGCTGTGCACGGTATCCACCGGTTTTACTTGGCCAACAGCATTCTACCGGTATTTGACCTATTTTCACCGTGATCACAGTCAGGCATCGATACTACCCCCTCCCCCCCTCCCGATGTTTTCCACCGGGGTTGGGTTTCGTCGCTTGGCAACGACGTTGTAGAACAAGCCGCCCCCCCCCCGGTGTTTGCCATCGGGATTGGGTTTTCGTCTCTTGGCAACGACGTTGTAAAACAAGCCAATTCACTTCGTGAACTCGGCGACCAGGTTGCCGTTCTTTTTTTTCACCTGTTTTTTTTTTTGGCGGTAACCATGATGGTGGTGGAGTAGATCATGTTGTGCGGGGTCGAGAACCCTCACTCCGCGCAAGGGGGATGATCGCACCACGTTGTG